AATATAACTCAAGATCAGAGAATACTATATCCAGGAAAGCTGTCCTTTAATCTTGATGGAGAAACAAGGACCTTCCAGGGTAAAGATAAGCTAAAGTATTTCAAGTACACCAAGCATCCATTATAGAAGATACTCAACTATTTTACACAGAAAAGGGGGAAGGAGTAACCCAAAGCAAAAAATCAAAACCAAAACAAACAAAAAAAACCCCCAAAACCACAAAAACAATCACAAACACGAGAGGCTAGGAAACAGTAACACTCACAAGGGGAACTGATCAACCCATGAGAGTTAGGAAAGTATCAAGCATGATTAACTCAGTAGGCCAGCAAAACCAGAAGATGAACAATGCCGAAAGAACAATCAACACTAGACTCAATCTGGAAAAAAAAAAAAAAAAAAAAAGAAACATAGGAATCAGTAATATTACTCAGTCATAATCCATAATCCTAAAAGTAAATGGATTACTTATACAATAAAAACACACAGATTGACTGGATCAAAAAGCAAGATGCAACAATCTGTTATCTATAAGAAATATACCTCACAACCAAAAGATACATACAAATTGAAAGTGAAAGACTGGAAAAAAGATAGGCATGAAGATATCAAAAGCAAGCAGGAATAGCTATTCTCATCAGACAAAGCAGATCTGAAGCAAAAAACAGTCAGAAGAGAGAAAAAAGGTCACTGTATTCTAATAAAAGAAACAATCCAGTAAGAAGATATAACAATTCTAAATATGCAATGCACCAAACATCAGTATGCTCAAGTTCATAAAACAAACACTCTGAGTATAAAGGAAAAGATAGGTTCAGATACAATAGTAGCAGGAGATCTCAATACCTCAATCTCATCAATGACAGAACATTCAGACAAAAAATTAACAGATATCCTAGAGTTAAAGAATACCATGGATGAAACAGACTTAACAGACATTTACAGAGCATTCCATCTTACAGCAGCAGATTATACATTTTTCTCAGCAGCCTATGGAACTTTCTCCAAAATACATCATATCCCAGGTCATCAAGCAAATTTCAACCACTACAAGAAACAAGTAATTCCCTGTATCCTAACTGACCATAATGAAATAAAAACTATTCAAACTCATGGAGTTTGAACAACAAACTTTTTGACAATCACTGGGTCATTGAAAAAAATCAGAGAAGAAATTAAGAATTCCTAGATTACATGAAAATGAGAACATACTTATCAGAACCTACGGGACATAGCAAAAGCCGTCTTAAGAGGGAACTTCATAGCCATGAGCACCCACATCTGAAATTAGATCTCAAGTAAACAATTTGATGATATACCTTCAAAAACAAGAACAAGCCAATCCCAAAAGTGGATGAAAGAAATTATAAAAATTTAGTTAAAAATGAATAAAATAGATATCAAAAGAACATTATGTTTGAAAAGATAAGATCAACAAACCATTAGCCAAATTAAGCAAAAAAGACAGAAGACCCAAATTAGTAAAATAGGAGATGAAAAAAGGGATATTATAATGGACATCAATGAAGTTCATAAGACCGTATGGAAATATTTTGAAAACCTATACTCTACACTCCTGGGTATATAACTGCAGGAATCTAAGTCAGGATAAAACAGCAATGTTTGCACGCCATTTACTGCAGCACTATCACAATAGCCAACCTTTGGAAACAGCCCAGGTACCCTATAACCGATGAATGGATTAAGAAAATTTGGCATATAAACACAATGTAGTATTATTTAGTCATAAAGAATAAAATTGTGTCATTTGCAGATAAATGGATGGAATTGGAGATGAACATGTTAAGTAAAGTAAGCCAGGTTCAGAAGGTCAAAGGTAGCATGTTTTCCCTTATTTGTGGAAACTAGACCTAAAAGAAAAATGTACATATACATATTATCTTATGTACATACACACACATATGTATATGAAGAGAAAGAGAGAACATGATTGTAATAGTGGGCCTGATGGGATTGGGGGAAGTGGAAGAGGAAGAGAGAATGATAGAGTGAAGAATACTGAAACACATTGAATGTGTGTATGAAGATGATACAATGCACTGAAAACTGTTGAATAGGGAAGCAGTGTGATAAAGAGAAAGAAACAGAGGGGTTAAATCTGATCAAAGTACAATATACACATGTCTGAAATACCATGGTAAAACCCCTTTGAAAAAATGCTGGACAGGAAGGTAAAACAGATCCTGTCCAGGGGTGGGTATCAGTGGGAGAGGGGAGGGTAAATGGAGAGGGTAAAGGATGGTGAATATGGTGGATGCACTTTAATAGAACAATGAAATCTGTTGTAATTTTTCTAAGGAAGGGGAAGTGGGGGATGAAGGAGAATGATGGAGTGGGCCAATCTAATTAAGCTAATCATAAACACATATGTCAATGTCTCACTGAAAGCTCCCTATACAGCTAATATATGCTAATAAAACTCTAAAAAAAGGTATGTTTAAATGATGAAATCAGAATAAAATAAGGAATATGTTTTAGCTTGTGGATGGAAAAATGCATATATGCAAAATTAACAGAAATATAACGAGATGAGATACATGACATAAATCTTAAAACTATGTATGGCAGACAACACGATAAAGAAAATTAGCTCATCAGAGCTCTCATTTGCTACAACTGTGATGAATAACATGAATTTATGTAAGATCTTAACTTATTAAAATCTCTAAAGTTTTAAGGACATAAAATAATGATTTACTTGTCACAAATGACCAAAACAAAATAATCTTTCTTTTTCTCATAATTCAATATTTATCTTTTTTTTTTTTGGTTCCTGTATGTTCCAAGGGTTGTAGATAAAATGGTATGGTACAAAAAGACATGCTCCCTGTGCATATGAAACTTACCTAGCACTAGAGCCAGCAATTCACACAGATACAGGTAAAATATAATACTAATAAATACTAAAGGGAGAATTTGGTACAGAGGGAGTATACAACAGAAAAAAAGTCAAGAATGGCTTCCTTGAGGAAATGTGGACTTATTTGGGATATGACGGAAGAAGAGAGGAGTGAATTAGGTAAAGAATAGGGGAAGAAAAGGGAAAAGCATGTCAGAGGGGATATATATTTGTAAGTCACTTATACATGTGCAGTAATGGAAATTGTAGTTGCAGATGTGATAAAGTAGGAAAAAACAGAGAATAAGAAGAGAAGACAAAATGAGACCAATTGTTGAGAAACCACAACTTACTAGGTACCTATAAAAGATAAGTCTGTAATTGACTGAGATGGAACAGTCAGAAAAACAAGAGGAAAATAAGAAGTATCATAGGAGTGTTTCAAAACTAAGGAGCAGCTGACAGTGTCACTTGCTGTTGAGAATTCAAGTGAGAGAAGGAATGGAAAAACGTTTGCTGGAATTAGCTACAAGCAAGTAGCAACAGCCAATCCAAGTGGAGGTAAACGGGAATGGCTGAGAAATAAGAGGTGAGAAAATGAGAAAGCAAGTCTGAGTTACTTTAAGAAGTATAGAGAGGTGAGAAATAGAATAATAGCTGGAAGAAGATGTACAGTTGCAAGAAAACTTTAAACGATCAGTGATGACCAGAAAATGTTGAATAGCTGATGGGAGGCTGAGGCAGAAACAGTGAAAATACAAATGAAAAAAGGCAGGGAGAAATATGGTCTAATGGACAAGAGAGGGAATGGAGTACACTTCTAAACAAATAGAGTAATTTACACATCAGAGTAATAAAATACCTAGGTAAATATAATACAGTGTTTGCTTTGGTGACAATACAAAGACTAATAATACCCTGTAGGGATGGAAGAGTGGCTCAACTGGTAGAGTGACTGCTTGTAGCCGAGTTCAAACCCCAGTATCACAAAAAAAAAAGAAAAATGAAGAATAAAACAAAAAACCATAACAAGACAAAACAAAACTACAAAAAAACCCAGCCCAGATAAACTTAATTTTTTCTTTTGGCAGTACAGGGGTTTGAACTCAGGGCTTCATGCTTGTTAGGCAGGTACTCTACCACTTAAGCCACTCTACCAGCAAAAAAATAAATAAATAAAAAGAAACACCCAGAAATAATAATGCTCTACTATACACCTGAAAAATTAACAACTTAAGTAGACCATGACTTGGCATTTGCCTAACTATATATGGGTGGAGGGGTTGGTCAAATACATTAGCATAAGTGTATATGATAGAATGTTATATGTAAATCAGAAACCACTTTTTACAGAATATTTAGTGAAATAGATAAGCTCATGATACTCATTTCACTACAGGTGAAAAGAACAAGATGTAAAACGACATATTCTCGGTGAATTTTAGAGAAAGAATTTGAAAAATGTTCTACAATTGTGGAAAAAAGAAATCACAGAGACACATCATAAAGAAACGGTTTAAAAAAAATCAAACTAACTTGATAATCCTGTATACCTCTGGGGAGTGAGGTAGTGGGTAAGTTCTGGTTCATACTTTTTTATACTTACTAAAATTTATACTAATTTCACAGTACTTTTATATACGCTCTCACAAAGTGTTCATAAGAACAAAGATTATGATGAGGGCACAAAGTACACACACAAGAAGTTCTACAATCAAAGAAGGAAAAACTGAAGAGTATTAGAAGCCACTTTAGCATAAAACAGATTTATTTTATTTTCTTTAAAAGAAAGAATAACGTTCTATGTTCGGGGAGCCATTAATGTTCAAAGTATGTTATATGTATCAACTCATTTAATCCTCACAGTAACCTGGAGGAAGGTGCTGGTATTAACTTTATGTTACAGGCGAGGAACAAACACTGCCCCAAGTCACAAAGCTTTATGTGTCTGTGGGCCTGATCCATCATATTATTTTGCCACATAAGAAAAACAACCTGTGAACAAAAGGCAATGATGCCATTTTTTTTTCTTTCCCAAAGTCTGGGTAATTTTGTTATCACCTTCTTCAACTAATAATTCAAAAGCTGTGTTGCTGTGTGCAAAGCAAGCAATGGCTTTATACAAATACTTCGTTCTTACCCAACATGGTCATTCCTGGCATTTCTCCCTCAATTAGCCATCTTTTTTTCTTACTCTCCAGGTTAGGGATTTCATCTGGTTTGGAAAGCAGATGAGCTGTATGTAGGGAAAATAAAAATAACATACATATATGACACTTCAGATATTTTTATAGGGAAAAGATTTCCATCCCAATGCCATAGGCTAAGCTGCTGAAGGATAAAACCAGAAAAGCCCCAAGGACCCGTGTATTTTTGGCTCTATATTGTTAAAGTACTTTCAAACAGACAGCAGGAAAAGCTGCTATTGTGCCCAAAGGGTATTAGGAAGCCTGCATCCCGATCCAAATGAATCTAACAACTTCACCCGTCCTATAGCTCTTAATAGTAGATGAAGTAATGGACAGATAGGTAAATATGCAAAAGCCACCTTTTTGCAAAGAGTTCAGGTTCCTATAATTCTCCAGCATCACATCCCTGTATAGTCTCTTTACAGAAGGGTCCAACTGCCCCCATTCTTCCTCGTTGAATTCCACAACCACGTCTTTGAATGCCACTGGTTCCTACAACATTAAGTTCCTTTTAAACCAAAAATCACTCTCAAAATATAACCAGAGGATGAATAAATTTAGAAAGAACAGAGTAGGAACCACAATATGTAAGAAACTGATAGGATAATGTTTGGGGGTCTAAGTAATAAATATCAAACTATACTAAGGACCAATCAACTTGGTACAGATACACTCTGTTAGGGCTGCAAAGAGAAAATGAAATGTAGTCCTTACTTTAGATTTGTTGTCACTTTAAGGAGAAAAAGATAGCTGAACAAAAACAATTACTATATAGTACAAAGAATGTACACAAAAAGAGTTTAGGACAGGAAGAGTTTAAAGTAGATCCAAGGGAAATTTGTAATGAAAACAGGCTCTGCTGGAAAAGATATGGCTTTTTTTTTTTTTTTTTTTGTAATAAGGAGCCTTCTATCTCCTTATCATTTAGGTCTCAAGGCTTAGTGTCACCTTGTCGGAGAGGCAAGACCGCTTGATTACCCATTAGTCTCTATGTATTACATTTCATTCCTTTCTCTGCACTTATTTACTTGCATTTACCTGCATATCTCTGCTAGAATGTAATTGCCACAAGGCAGAAATTTTGTTTTGTTTACTGATATTTTCAGACTTTAGAAAGTGTTTGGCATATTAGACATGGCATAACTATTTGTTAATGAATAAATAACCTCGTCTCGCACCATCAATTAATCTACTTTCTCCAGCATCTCTCTCAACCTTGTGTTTACTGGTACCTTCAGTTACACTGAAATATATAAATCTCTTCCTGTCCTCTCCCTCTGGGTCAGTTTTGTGAATAAGCTGTCTACATTAGTTTCTTCTACTTTCTCACCTTCTCTTTTCACAATCCAAGGCAAACTGGCATCCATTCTCATTAATTTTAATTTTTTTTAAGTGGTACCGATGTTTGAACTCAGGGACTTATGTTGCTAGGCAGGCACTCTATCACTTCAGCCACACTGCCAGCCCCTCATTCATTTTAGTATCTCTGTGATAAATGAATAGACACTATTTCGCCCTGACTTTTAAAAGCATTTCTCCTTTAAATATTCTCATACTCTGGACAATGACATTATACTTTCTTGATTTTCCTCTGTATCTTTGGTCTTTTTAGTATCCTTTAGGTTTTGTCTACTCCTGCCTAGTACATAACACTATCAAGATTCTAACTTATGGTTAGGTTCTATAGCTTCAATTATCTACACTCTTGAGGGAACAGATTCACAGAGACTGTATTAAGACAGAAAGAATATTTTCCAAAGAGTGTATCAACTAAAATAGGTCCCATGTCTTGTGGGAGAATAAGAGTGTCATGCCCTTGGATGGAAATATGACAAAAGATCAAAGGCAAAATAAAAACAGGTCATACTAAAAAAGATCATAAATTTCCACCAAAGCATGGGATCCTAATTCACCTGGGGTTTGTCTGCTGGTGAGTCAGCTTCCACTTGCTTCTCCTTGCTGCTACTCTTCTGGAGGACAGAGTCATTGCAGGGTGTATCTGAGGCAGAAGAAAAATACTAGGAAGATAAGTTTTGCCTGCTTACCTGGTTTGTCATCTTTTGCTCAGTTCTTCATTTTATGAGGGACTAAATAGAATCAAAGTATCAATATAACCACTGGAACGATTCCTTATCAAGTATTCAGTTAATTACTTATGTCTTATAAGGTCTACTACACATTCCTGAGACTGGTTACACATTTCTTAAGTTTCTTTTCATTTCTAAATTCTTTTGCTTTCTCCATTCTCTTAGAAACTGGACTGTCTTATACTTTCCCACAGTTTGGATTTAACTAATGGTATTATCACGGTGTAGTTTAACATGTTCCTCTATCCTCCGTATTTCCTGTCATTGGAAGTTAGATCTAAACTCTAGATCAGTTCCCTAACGATTTGCATTTCTCCTACTTCTATTCATACCAATAAGCTTCCAATCTTTCTGAAGTGTAAAGTCATATCAACAACTTTTTATTGTAGTCATTGTCAATGTCCCATAGGAATCTCAAATTCAGCATGCCACATAATTAACGTATTACTATCTACACATATGATTAGCTACTTATTACAGTCATGTAAACTAGAACATGTGAGTTATAGCATACCTTATCCTATTCATACCTTGTATCTAGTCAGTAATTCCTTTTGGCTCAAACTCCCCTGCTAATGCACCATCATTTTAACTCTTAATTTATTACAACAGTCTGTTTTTCCTACATTAAGAACCTTCAGACCTAGCCTTTACATGAGAAGTTGATAAACTTTTTCCATAAAGGGCCAGATTGTTTTCTTTGCAGGCAATATAGTCTCTACTACAACTACTCAACTCTGACCATAGCATGAAAGCAATCACAGACAAAATGTAAATGAATGGCTGTTGTTATATTCCAATAAAACTTTATTCCCAAAAATATTTCACCTGTGGACCATATTTTGCCAACCTCTGCTCTATACTGATGCTAACATGGTATTTTTAAAAGGCAAATCAAACTATGCTACTCCCCTACCCAATCTGTGAGATCTAATTCTCTACTTCTATAACCTACAGAATAAAGTCCAGGTTTCCTAATAGAATAATAGAAAGTCTTTCATGTCTTGGTACTTGATAGTGTCAAGCTTCAGAAAAATATAACTTCTTTTCATATGAGAAGGGTCAACTATTCTACCTCTAATTTTCTATATTCTCACCTTCATCTTTGAGCATTTCAATTACATCCCCTATGAGGGTCACCATATCTTTGCTGTTCTTTGGATGCTGTAAATTCACCCAGGTCTTGACTTCGTCAGGGAGGACTGTCATGAATTGTTCCAGCACCAACAGCTGTAGAATTTGCTCCTTTGTATGAATCTCTGGTCTCAGCCACTGAAGACAGAGCTTCCAAAGTTGGCTCAGGGCTTCACGGGGCTCAGACACTTCCAAATATTGGAGACTTCTGAACTTTTGACGAGATGCTTCAGAGTCATATGTCTCCATGATGGTCATATGTCTCCAAGACATATCTGTTCTCAAGGCCTCACTTTGTTCATGTAGAGCTAGGTTCTGAGGTTTTGAAATAGCCATCAACTGGTTCTGAGGCTGCATGTTGCTAAATAGAACATTCACTGTAGTTCAAATCTGTCCTACGGGAAGACTCCAGTACTACTCAGGCTTGGGTTAAGCACCTGTTTACTGTATGCAGTATTAGTTGAACTAGTTGATATCACAGTAAGAAGAGTTCCAGGAGCTTCAGATGCAGAGTCAATATTCAGCTTCCTGAAAGACTGAAAAAAAGATACAAATATGACCCACAGACAACAAACATCTGTTAGCATAGTGGGAAAAGTTGAAATAGTATAAATAGTATTCCTTAAATTGAAAAAAGATACAAATAGTATATAAATAATATTCTTTAGCTTACTTAAGAAAAATAATATGGATTATCCTTTATTTATATATTTATTTATTTGGCAGTATTGGGTCAACTCAGTTCCTTATATTTGCTAGGCCGGTGCTATACCAGTCAAGCCACTCCAGTAGCCTGTTTTGTGTAGAGTATTTTTGAGATAGGGTGTCCCATTTTTCCTCTGGGCCCTGGAACAGTGATTCTCCTGATCCCTGCCTCCCGGTAGCTAGTATTACACACATGAGCCATGGGCTGTTTTATTTCTTCCAATAGGAAAAAATGCTTTGTTCCAACTGTTCTCCCTGCTAAAAAAAAAAAAAAAAAAAAAAGACAGAAACACAACATCTCAAAATAAGTGATAAGGAAATCACTTTATATTTTAAGGGAAGTAATTTTTTCTGCTTCAAAACTAAGCAAAACAAATTTTTAGGCAGGATACTTCAGGTTAATACTTGAGACTAAATGCCTGAAAAATTTCACCTTTTTTCATTATAATACCAATAAAGAATAAAGTTATAGAAGATGAGTGAAAATTTGCAATAGCACTAGAAGCTAAGGTAAAGAGCCAATTACTAAAAAATACTAAAAAAATCCATGAACCATTTCATTATTATAGGTAATCAAAAAGTACATTACCAGATTCTAATTCTTAAGTTTCCACTTGTTAGGACTTAACCATGGGTCAGTCTGAAATGCAGTGAGAGAGTGTGTGTGTGTGTGTGTGTGTGTGTGTGTGTGTGTATCTTACACTAAATTGAACATTTTGATTTACAATACTATCATAGGTCATATTTGGCTTCAGTTTACTCAGAAGGCAAAAACCATCGCTTGGTAGAAGAGTAAATGGCATTTTTTCTTCAGTGAGAATCCTCACAGGGTATAGGTATAGTTCAAGTGCAAAGGAGGCGAGACTCACATTGGTGCTGTGCTAGGAGCACCCTAACTGAAAAGCTTTCCCATGAAGCCAATATCTCTAGTACCCCATGAGCACAGTTTTTAGAGTTGACCCAAAGAGATCACCAACCAACATTCAGGCAAATTCAAATACTATTTTCCATTTGATTTATAGTTCTCCTAGTCCAGATGTAATCCATCATCGGGGTCATTTTCATTATAAATTTCTAGGCCAGGCCTCAACCAGAGGTGATCTGGTTACCAGGGGAATGTGTGGAGACAGTTTTTGTTGTTATATTGAAAGCTGTTACTGGCAGTTAGTAGGTTGAAGCCAAGGATGATGCTAGTCATCCTACACTGAACAGGACAGCCCCCACACCAAAGAATTATCCAACCTCAAATATCCGTAATTCTGAGGCTGAGAAACTTTGGAATTACACATACATGAGTTTAAATTTCAGCTGTATGAATTACTAGATATTACAAACTTGAGCCAATTTTAACCCATGCCAGAGTTTTCTCACCTATAAAATGGATATAACAATATTTATCTAATTGAATTATAGAGATTAAAAGAACTTTCATCTCTCTTCTGGACACTATTAAGCACCCAATAAGATTATCATAGTACACATATGTGTCTGAAGATTAGTAGAGTTTACCTACTGCCTAAAAGTTTGTGTGATCCTATTTTGGCAATGCCCACTTAAAAAAGAATTCAATATAAAGATTAGTAAATAGAGTGGGGGAAGGACAATTGAGGGCCCATAAGACGACACTGTAGAAGGAAAAAAAACAGGCCCACATTTCTTAAAAGTCAGAGCAAGAAATAGTCTCAAATATGAATGCGTTAAAAAAAGTTTGGCAATTAGTAGAATCTGTAAGTGTAAAGGCAAAGAAAATGTACAATAGTACTGTATTCTATTTGACAAAGTGATTTCCCACAGGAATGCAGGTTAACAATTCAGATGCCACTATACATGTATACTGGAATTAAACAAACAAAAGAAAGATGGTGGGAGACAGGTCTCCCCATGTTTAAGTAGAAGTTTACAGATAACCAAGGGAAAGTCTAAATGATTCTTTTAGGAATTAATTAGAATTAGAGACATAATTATAATTATGCAATTGAGTTTAGCTTTAGATGAAGATGTTTACACACAGAAATATTTACAAATATGTGTATATATACAAATCAGTATAAACACATATATGTCCAGCTGTCAGGCATAGTAAGGAGCAAAAGAACACCTAGCACCCAGAATGGTTTTGAATGCCATTCTCCAATAAAAAAATCATAGCTTCTTGGAAGAAATGGGTTATTCTAGGACTGAGCATGCAAGATGAGCACAGAGCACCTCGAAGTACCATAAAGTAAAGAAGTGCTAAAAAATAAAACCAAACATTTATTAGTTATTAGGATACAAGAAAAATACACAGGAGCCAGAGCTAGAGAAAAAAGTAAATGCTGGCGACCACCAGGGAGTCACACACAGAGGAAAGCAGAGACTCTGGGAATATCCTGACATGACCATGAGGTTGCAAGGGTCACCAGCAGTATGGATGCCCGGCCTGGGTGGAATGTCCCCAAAGCCTCTGGAAGGGACATGCGGGCACAACGGCCGGACCAGACCAAACGGATCCCTAGCAGCCGACAGACGAAGAGGGGTGTCGGGGAAGGAGTGTGGCGGGCAGCAGGAGGATTCCAAGATGGCAGCTAGAGGGAGGAAGCAGAAAGCATGCCTCCTAAAGTAAAATCTTGGAGAGACGCTGGAGATACACCTTACAGGCAAAACCACTGAGAAGAGGCAAAACTTTGACCCCTCCACACCTCCAGCCTGCGCAGAGCATCTCCACTTCACATTGAATGGAGAAACCAGGAGGGCCCTCAGGCCGCCACCAGATGCTGGCACCCAGGCAGCTTGGGAAGACACAGACCACAAGGTGAGCTAAGCAGTACACAGTACTCCCACAGACAACCCTGGGCCAGATCAGCATAGTGCCCTGGACAGACCGACCCCCACCTGGGGAAAAAAGAGAAACTGAGTAATAAGCGATAAGAACAATAAAGACACATAGCAAAGAGGGTGGGGTGCCCTGAGCGCCAAAGGGGGGGGAGGGGAATCCCTCACAGAACTGTAAATAAACAAGCTGGGCAGGAGAAGGCAGGAGCGGCAGCACAAGCCCAGCAACCAGGAGCAGGAAAGCTTGCGAGAGTGGCGGAGGGAGGAAAACTCCACAAGAGAGGGGGGAAGACCACTTCCCATGTGAACTGTAAACAAACATGCAGGCCTGAGAAAGCGGGTGCAGTGTCACCTCCCCCAGTGTTCTTGGAAAGGGGAAAGCTTGTAGCAGCAGCTCATGCACAGGAGAACTCTGAGTAAACATAGCCTGCAGGGCCAGGTGAGTGCTAAGTTCACCCCTGAGATCTGCATAAATAACACCTCCAGCAACAGCAGCTGACAGCAGTGGGCAGGCAAGCCACAGCCGCAGACATGCCTACATGAAACATGTGAAAGCCATAGCCTTTCACAGACATGTCTCCAGACTCTTTTTTTTCTTTTCTCTCTCCCTACCTTTGATGAGACAACTCAATTTTGCCTGCATGCTGAAAAACTTACTGAAACGGTATTGCATTTGAACTTGGGACACTTTGTGGTGTTTTTTTTTTGTTTTGTGCGGTTTTATTTTATTTTTCCCCTTTGATGAGACAACTGCAGAACAACATCTGAGGCACCATCTCCAGGATTGGAGGCTGAGGGACTAACACCAAAATTATTATGACTGAAACTTTATTGCATTTGAACTTGGAGATTGTGTATACATATGTATTTTTTATTTACTTATTTTTTATTTTTATTTCTATTTTTTTAAATTTTTTTATTTTCAATCCTGTCTAATGCCTTTTCAGCTTACAGTTGATTAGTACACTGTCTCTCTTTGTTTATATCTTTGAAACTTTTTTGTTTCTTTGTTTTGTTTTTTCTACTTGTTTATTTGTTTGTCCCTTTTCCTTTAACTTCTTGCTTTCCATCTCTCTCACCCTTCCATTCTAAATATCACTATGTATTATTACAGCAGAAAATACTTAATTGCACACAGTACAGGGACAATAACAACACCAAGGCAATGATGGGAAGACAGAAAAAACAGGGAAACCTGTTTCCCCATAGCAAAAAATTACTACAGGAACCAGAGGGGAATGAAGAAAACAGATACTCAGACCCAGACTCCAACAAAATGAAGATAAACTATGCCAAAGAACCCAATGAAGCCCACAAGAATAATTAAAAGAAGAATACTACAGGTACTCAATGAGAATTTTATAGAGATGATACTGGATATGGTCAACCAAAATGTACAGGAGACACTCAAGAAATTCCAAGACAACAAAAATAGAGAATTTGAAAAAGCAAAGAAGAAATAAAGGAAACCATAGAAGCACTGTATAAACACCAAAGTGAAACAGAGAACACGATTAATAAAGAGATAAATGAACTCAGGACAAAAATAGACAACATTAAAAGAGGAAAACCAGGATATGGAAAACCTCAGAAAAAAGAATGAAACAGAATGCAAAACAAAACGGAAGGCCAATCCAGCAGAATAGAACAAACAGAAGACAGAATCTCAGAACTTGAAGATGAAATGGTAATTAAAGGAAAAACCAAGAACTATTATTAAACAACTCAAGACCTGTGAAAAGAAAATGCAAGAACTCACCGACTCCATCAAAAGACCAAACTGAGAATCATGGGCATCGAAGAAGGAGAAGAGGTGCAAGCAAAGGGAATGCGTAATATAT